ATATGTGTTGTAAGTTCTATGGAATTTGAGAATCGAAATCACGGCCTCATATTTTTGTTGACTGTATTTGAATTTGATATAAAAAATCAACAAACATGTAAGCGCTGACATTTTGTCAATACACAGCAAAGAGAATTCTTTCCTTGGAAACGATAAATTTGGTTTGGTTTGTCATCATATAATGCTCAACGTTTCACGTAAGTGGTAAAAGTCTTGATGCCTGCTTCAATTCGAGTTGTTCTCCCACATGAAGCTGATACACCGTAGTGGAGCTGGCATACAGTTCAAACTCACTTTCCCGAAGAGATATGGCTTAGGATACAACATAGCTATGGGTATTGAAAGACCAGCACTTACTCTGCAATGGCGGCCCACACATTGATCCAATACCTAGCATCAGCAATTGACCTCCAATGAACTTAAGAAGATTTTCAAGGCCGAACAACTGTACCAGCATTGGACCCCATTTCACCGAGAACCCTCGGAGTCCCGTGTTGAGGACAGTCACAGACTACATAGTAAACATAGTTATACCTGGAAATGCATTTTTGTTCCGAAAATCTTAATAGAACTATTATTACGCATGTGGATATATTATATAATATATATAACAGCTCTTTGTATGTATAAATAGCTTTATGAAGAGAGATGGAATGAGTCCAAGGTAATGACAGCATGAACGAAACTCACCTTGGGCCCTTCCATAATAAAAATCCAGTTATATAGAAGTCTCTCTCATATTCTGATATAGCGTCACACTAATATTGATCAACCCACGCGCAATCGTAAATGGATTGGTTGTGTGGAGCGAAAATTTGGATTCAACATAGATACGACACCGAAAAGGCAATTGCATGAAACATTCCCAGTGCAACTTCTGAGGATGTATGACCAGGAAGTGATGAATGTCTGGGACGACACAAAACCAAGCCCTAAGACGAGTAAGGAGTTGTAACCAGGAACTTTGATTATGAGCTGTTCACTGAATCCCTTCCATGGAGAAATATTTTGTACGTTGCAGGTATCCCAGGTATTCGGAACTGGAATTTGATGTTACACGTAGTCCTATGACATGATTGTTTTTGTTTGTTGTTTCACGCCGTACTCAGCATTATTCCAGCTATATGACCACTGACTGATTGAAAAAATGAGAAAGTGATCCACACCACGATGACATGGAATCTGGCAAATCACACAGCTTGATATACGGATCCAATGTAGTCGCCTGTTAGAGCAACGAGGGACTTATTCTAGGCAATATTGTAGCAGAATATATGTGCATCGCTGAATGATGTGAAAACACGGCTACGGATGTGATTCGTTTTATTGGATGACGAGTATGTGTGGTATATTGTTTTACACCCTGAAATGCACAATAACACTCAAAAAGAATCTTGTAAATTATGACAATTCAAATGAGAACATGATACTTCATTAGGATTACCTTATACATATATAGAGGATATGTATACGTCAGAACATGATACGTCATTAGGATTACATTATACATAAATATAGTACATGTATATGCATACGTCAAATCAAAACACTTCTTAGGTCGTGTAAAACGTAATCAAGAGATAGAGATAAACATAAACATAATAATAATAATATATATTTACATGTGGTGATAAGTAAACATACCAGAAGTATGGCCTCTAGGTGTTGGTTACACTTTAGTCTGCCACGACTACATTGCCAGGGCTACAGTGACATCAAAATACCTAAACATATTGAAATGATTCTAAATGTACAATAAAACTAGCTTCCCTACACAATGCTCTTGCATGTGTATTATCAAATCAGTGCTACTGTTTATACATCTTTACAGATCTGAACATAGCACTACCATAAAACACAATAAATTACTAAACATCCTAAAACTATCACAAATGTCCACACACTTACAATACATTAACACATATATGATAATAGGCTCATAAACATATTCAAACAACACTCTGTCCAGGAGAATCTGACATTGACTAAATCTCACACACATCATAACAAATACCTTATTTAACGGACACCTATATAATCTTATTTATGAAAAGATAGATTTATATATGTTTACGTATTAAATTGGAAACATACCTTGACTTTACAAAATCTGTAAAATGTGTCCACTTGCTGTCGTCTGTCAGTGACTTGTCTGTATAGTGACTGAGGTGCAAGTGAGGGTTAAAAAGCATGCAAAGCTGACCCTAAGGAGAACAATAGGGTCAACCACTCAACCAGAACATTTGCCCTGGCTGAAACAAAGGACCTGCTAGGGTAGTGACTGACCCAAGCATAACTAAGTAAAACGGTGTAGTATCAAATATTCATTAAAAACCCTTAAACCAATACTGCAAACTAATACTAAATACTAATATTAAATACTAATATTAATACTAATACTGGTAACTAATGCCAATACTAACTACACTATGTATTATATACACTATATACTAATACTGACAAAATAACTAATGCTAATATTAATACCAATACTAACTACACTGTGTATTATATACACTATATACTAATGCTGATTTACTGGTTAGTTGACAGTCAAACAAAACCTGTAAATGCCACAATATATCCATCTATCCATGTGAACAACGCTATCAGGAAATATAATCAGGGAATCGTTTACCTTTCTTGAGACTTTTTTGATCCACAAGAGTTTTAGCCAATGCACCACTTATGAGCAGTGCTTTCCGCCAAATGAAATCTGGCAGCTAGATCGGATTTCAATGGAGGCCACATTGGACCACCAGCTGCCGCTCCAATAGCTGCCACTTGTGCTGCCAGTGGCCGCCATCTTGCAGATGGCCAGTTCAGATGGACGATGGAGGAGACACAAATGGGCGATAAACCAACGCCTAGTGACAAAAAATACTTGTGTCTCAAATGACATATAAACTGACGGCCAAAAGAAAGTTTGGTTTTGGGTTGTTTTTTTATCAGTGTTAGTGTCTGACATGCCGTCCGTTTCGTTCATTTACCCTTATTACACGTTAGTTTCAGCTGCCCAAGCGGTAAAGGTTTGTCACTCTTTCGCATATTCTAAAAAAACCGTGCCGTTCTGCATAGAGCATCGTTGTGTTTGGACGATATGTTTTGCATTGATTTAATCGGAACTTGTGTTTTTAAATTTTGAAAAGTTGTAAAGTTTCTGTTGCCCGTCATTTTATTTCAAGTACATGGTCGTCTAAGGCGCCGCGATCCGCTGGGCAGAGTTGCGTCCCTTGGGCGCGCCAGAAACCTATGATTGTGGGTTCGAATCCCGGTTCGCCCCGATTATGGTTCTAGGTTTGTCAGCACCATACCCGTCCTCGTGGGTTTCACCGAAGTGGTAAACGTCTGAGACCTGCATATCTGCGGGCTTTCCTCCCATATAAGGCTGACGCGCCGTGATATAACTGGAATACTGTTAAAAGCGGCGTTAAACCCAACTCACTCACTCACTAATGCGTGTCCTCGTATTCCAATTGCGCGGATCGATGCTCATGATATAAATCACTGAGTTGTCTGGTCCAGATTCGATTGTTTACAGACCGCCATCATAAAGCTGGAATGTTGCTGAGTGCGGCGTTAAAAACAAACAAACAAAACAATGCAAGTATAACAAATAAATTAAATACTTCATAGTAAATTGCTATATTTTTTTAGTTTGAAGTTTACACGATATAAGGTTTTTCTTTTGGACGAGAGGTCGGTCTCATGACCGCGAAATTGGCGTTCATAAGTTATATGAACGACACAATTTGACGTTCATACGTTTTTCACGCGACCGTATTCTTGAAATGACGTAAACACCGACGGACTACTTGCTCCCTGGGAATTCCCCACCACGAATACATACAGAAGAGTTCTTTCTGATCATTTAGACCCTTTAATCTTGAACTCAGCGTTTTGGTATATATTGAGAAACGTCAAAGAGTTTCAATGCATGGTCGTTAACGAATATCCTCGATAGGACCCATCTAAGAGAACAAAAGGAAGAAGTTCACATCCAAACTATCGAAGTATCGACTCGATCCGTGTCTGGGCTGACAGTGACAGTCTACAGCAATCTATGATTTTACCTTAGTATATATTTGACACATATTTAATCACCTTTAAATGAACGGCAAATTGATCAATGATGACTAAAACAAAAACCGCCACAGGTTCTTTGACAACTTCAGAAATCTCCCCCGTCCCGATTTTCGTGTCGGCCATTTTGACGTCTTGTACTCGATGTACTCGTATATGTCGTTTTGACTGACTTACTGAGGTAGTTCTTAACAGACCTTTCTCATCTAATGGAGATATCATTTGAAAACATGTGATGTGTCAGATGTTTCTGAAGAGCAAGTTGTGCATACAAACGCTCAAGTCACCTCTCGTTTTGAGGAACTACTTTATTCAGCGATTCCACAAGCTCCGACGTTCATACAGTTTGGCCCTCACACTATGAAGGTTCACACTAGAGCGTGCGCCCGGAGAGCGAAACGTCCGAGATTCGATCCCCGGCCGCGTTGAAAGATGGTACTAGTTGTTAGCCTGTCTGGCGCTCGCCATTAAGGGGCTAAAACAAGGACTGGTCGGCTCGGAGTCAGTATACGGTGTCTGAGTTGGGTATTCATGTTAAACTGCGGCATGGTATCTCAGTGGGGTAGCACAATAAATCGGCATCAGTCCCTACACATACATTGTGTAAATATAGGACAATGTAGTACATGTTTGAAAAATATATTTTAACACCCAACGTAAAGAATTATTCATCTATTGTCATATGTTAGGTAGGTGAAAACTCACAAACATTTAATATTTTCTTTGTGTATTAATATATAGATTACAAAATGCAAGGTGTGCGTCTTTATGTAGCGGCCATAAAAGTCCGAGTCCCGCGAGTGGTTTCGAGGCACGGACCTTCTGATCCGCGGTCGGACCCCGTTGGCAAGCTGACAAAGTAAGAGTGTCATCTGTGGGATGACTCCACGCCCTGCTACATTAATACATGAGTTCAACCTAGTCGTGGGCATGCATCTGTTCTATTAAAAGGTATGCTTTTCCAATGCTGTAAAATGTTGATGTGTCAGTCTCGATCTGGTCGTAACCAGTCTGTTGTGGTTGATATCATACTCGACTCTCCTCTCAAGTGCGTGACTATCAATATGGAAGGTGTATACACGTAACTAATTGGAATCTGTCATTCATAGACCCTATGTGACAAGTAGATTAGAAACAAATCAGGAAAAACGAATCCTACCATGTTCGTGTGCATAATAAAGGACCATAACTCTGATAACTCAAGGACTAAAACATTCAGGACAGCTCTACTCGCTGCCGTGTTCGTGTACTTGTAGGTGTTAAGAACATATTGCACTTTTCATTGAGAATTTCTCCTGTACCTGTGATGAACAAGTTTATTTATCATTGATTATCAACTAACATGTACTCCATTCTAAATTCAAAACACAATCATACGATCCGTTCTACGAAAATAATGTATTTTCTTTGACATTTACATTTGTTTGGTAAAGATAATAGCATCGTCATTGAGTTAATGCTTAGTAGTTGATTACATAAATGCTAAACCCTAACAAGTTATTTAGCAGAAAGACTATGAGGTGTTTCTTTGTCATCGCTGGACGAAACCTCATTTGTTGTCTTCATTACGTATACAGCAACAAAACAGGTTGAAAAGGGTTAATTTCTTACCTGAATAGTTAATACGTCTGTCTTTAGTCTTAAAGGAAGTAGACTAATCGATGAAGCGTCTTTAGTTCGGTAGATCAAACAACGCTAACATCAAACAAGGGTAAAGCTTCAGTAACAATACTATTTTGAGAGGGTATAGGTTCTTTTTGTTATTGCTGTGAATAATGACAGTAGCTTGGGCCTGAAGACATTGCATTGACTATGACATTGGCTAAGGTATTTCATTCTCGGCAAAAGGGTGTATTCGAGAACAAGTATGTATCGCGCGTGCGTGCGTGTGTGTGTGTGTGTGTGTGTGTGTGTGTGTGTGTGTGATCGGACGGTTTCCAGTGACATTTCACAGCGTAGATCAACACAAATTAAGTACAATCCGAACAAGTCTTCCTTTTTGTCCGTCTTCCCTCAACTCAAACGACTGACGACGTGTACGAATTTAAGAAGGTAGAGAAGTTTGATACTTTAATAACGCCATCTCAGATTCCGTTTAGCAACACGCAGGCCTTTAGTGATTCTTCCCTTGACCCTAGGCTCTCAATACACACTCATCCTATCAACACATGTAAATACACACTTCATACGACATCAAATATATTATTTGAACCAATACATTAACTTTATTAGTTGAATACTAACAATGACAATAATTAACTGATTATGCACCTGTAGTGATAACGCTCATGACCACAATAACATAATGTAAAGGGATTGTACTTAAAGTTATGCTGAAGCTATACTGAATACGATTGATCATTACTGGCTTCACCCTTTTGTCCATAATTATAGGCTTCACCGGCCAATATGTTTACCCTTCTGTGTACATAACAGGCTTCTCCACTCCAGCAGTGTAATAAACTATGTCTGTCTGTCTGTAACTGCATCTTAAACCTACTCAACTGTATAAACACTCCCTCCTATCCTGTATATATACTTGTCAACCATACTCTGTACACTTGCTTGATAACGGTGTTAGAACCTACATCAAAACGTCTCTCCTAATTGTAATAAAGAAGTTGTCCATCCATATACTAGTATCCTACCCTTACTACGATTGATCAGGCTTGTATTGCTAATATTACACATGTTTTGGCGACCTTAAAGCATCACTATTTCAGTCACATCCCAGGTAAATGCAGGCATCACGCTTAAACTAATTCATGTTTCTTACAAATTTGACAAACACGTTTAAAATAAGAATAACATTATACCCTAAATCAGGCAGACACACATGTTGAACAAATGTTTTGTAGCGGACACTCATATAATATGGCTTACAATGCGTAATAAATAACCCTTACGGAAATTTTATCAGTGTTAGTATGGGTACAGCATTATCGAAAGGTGAGAGTATATGTACACATGTCTACAGGTAATAGATGCTTGATATGGCGACAGGATGAGCATTAACCTTTTCCACAAGCAAAACAAGCAATAAGCTGGAACACATATGCTGTTTGATACACGAAGAATGATTGACAGGTTTATGACCAAAAGCCCCCCAATCAATGACGATACTCCTGTGTTGAAAACGTTTAAATAGAGAGGTTTCTGGTGAGTGAGTGAACATTCCTGGATACTGCAGCTGTTCTCAAAGGGCTTTCCCAGTAGAGTTCGGCTAGATGATACGTCTTGTCTTCTCATTACTATCACCATCGGGTTCATGAGGCGACTACAGTGTCTGAGCTGCCTGCGATAAAACCGACGTTAGCAAAACCGCTGCCAACAACTTTGAAAGACTTTCTCCTCACTGGACACGGTGTCAAATGATGTTGCATTATAATCACCATGAACATCACCGTCAAGATGAAGGAAGTCCCGGCACTGTAGAACGCCATATCTTTGTCAAATAAAGTCGCAAAATAGCCTGTCAATAAAAGAGTTGTATAATAATTGCGCCAACATTCTAATGCATTAATAGTTTCATCTTATGTTTCTAAGACACGCCCGTGGTGTATCAATATATTTGGACCACACGCATGATAATCCGATCATCAGGATAGTATATAGCAGAGTAACGTTTTCTAGCAAGAAACAAAATTAATGTTGATCCGGCCGGAACAGCTTGAAATGGACAAGGACGGAGATTCCATATTCTGATGGCAGAGTCTATGTCTCACAACTTACCTTGCAAAGGAGCCCCTCCAAAGCTCCCTATCCCTTGGCACATTACACACATGCTGAATGATTTCGATAAATTATCAAGTCCAAACAGTTTGACTAAGAGAATTGTGTGCACGCCATTCCATCCTCCTGAAACGCACAAGTATGTTTCTTAATGTTAACATTTACATCTAGATAATTATTGAATTCTGAGATGTCGAAGACATATTGTGGAAAACTTGATATAGGGTGATACTAACAAAACGTTAAAATATTTCGACAATTCCACAAACTCCACACAATCTTACCTAGAGCTATTCCATACGCTACACCGTTCGTGTAAAATGCAATGGAATCTTTGCAAAGTGGCACGAGCAAGTTAGTGAGACCACATACGCACACTGAGAGGATAAATATATAGTTTGTCGCCTTGTGAGAAGCCATGGAAATCCCAGAGAATATAATACGACCAGCAATGCTGCCATATCCCAAGCTTGAAACTATGAGAGAAGCTTCGGATGTTGTCATACTGTATGGTGAGGTTGTTACATAGTCAGGAATGAAGGTGGCGAATGTGTAGTAGCCAAAGCCAAGGGAGATGTGAGCAATGGCCAAAAATATTGCATCTGGACTCCTGAGTAACCGGAGACAATCGACCATCGTCTGGCCCAGGGAGACTCTTCTACTGTCAGAATCACCTTTAAGAAATAAAACGCTATTATTTCAGTATTCTAAAATGCAATACTAAACAAGAGTCATCAGAAAGATGACATATCCCCCCGGCAGCTGTCTGTAAAGTAACTACAAGTAAATGTGCAATTCTGTATGTAATGAGTCAAAGTTGAACGTTCTTTAAGAAGCATACATTGTTTACCAACAGAAGATCCACCACAGTCGCATCCATATGAAATGGAAACTAAAACATGCGTGTTTCTGTGTTTTTTTTATGCAAACAAATGGCAAATTACAAGAAACAATAACTAAACAAGCGTATAGTCAACGAAGTCATCTATATCCCCACCCATTTTAACACGTTATAGCCCCAAACCAGGTAACTGACCCCAAATTTCTCTTAGCCCATGTCAAAATAGCTGCAATTGAAATTCTAAAATAAACATTTCTAAAACTCCTTAATATCAAATGGCACCAGTTCAGTATGTACTTCATATATAGACATGCAATGTTTGGCAAGGAAACTATTTAACAGTTTATTTGTTATACTCCATAAGTGAACCCACCCTATATGAAAACTTGAATCCAACTTGTTGCCATGGAAACGTAAAAAATAAAAATTTATAAAATTCCTAAATAGCAAAAGGCACCAGTCCAGTGTGTGCCTGGTAGACATGCAAAGTTTTGTAAGAAAGTATTTAACGGTTTTTGAGTTACGCTCCGGAAACGAACACCACCCTTTTTGAACCTAAGTCCAACTTGTTACCATGGAAACGTAAATATATAAATTTCTAAAATTCCTAATTAGCAAAAGGCACAACTTCAGTATGTGACTGATAAATATGCCAAATTTCGATCAAATACACTGAATTGTTTTCGAGTTCTGCACCGGAAAAGGAAATGATTACGGACGGACGATCGCTATATACCCCCGCATTATATGTTGCGGGGATAAAAATGTTCAGAAGCACATGGCCATCCTGTCTTTCCTACCTGTGTTATTTTTTGGAGTTATCCACACAGCACAAGGTATGAAGTGTAATATCAGCGCTCCATAGATGAGAAATGTGCCCCGCCATCCAAACACGTCTGCAGTAACGGCTGACACTGGTGGAAATACCAACACACCTATCGCTATCCCCGTTACAGATATCCCCACGGCTAACGGCCGCCATTTTGAAAACTGGTTGTTGACATTAACCATAGTCGCGTTATAGGCAAGGCACACACCAGCACCTGGAGGAGAAAAAGGAAGATTTTTGCACTTATACCATGTTTCAAGTAATTTTTTTCCTTTTATGAAGTGTTTTTAAAACATATATCACCGAAGCAAGTGTGAAATAGTAGGGTAGCCTTTATGATCATACCTTCATTCGTACAACCGCCAAGAATGTATTACTCCATTGTGACGTAACTACTAAGGGACGGGTTTTTTTATGTGGTGAGGTGAGGTGAAATGGGGTTCAACGTCGTTCAAGCTCCGTGCACTAGTAAAGCGACATGCATGGATGTGTATGTGTGTGTGTGTCTTTCTGTATGTGTGTGTGTGTTTGTGGCTGCTTGTACTAGACTGTGACTCAGTGACTGTGACTGATGCCGATTTGATAGTGCTAGCCCACTGTTTAAAATGATTACCCCACTCACAGTATATTGACTCTGAGCAGACCAGTCTTTGTTTTAGCCCCTTAATGCCGAGCGCCAGGCAGGCTAACAACAAGTACAATCTTTTAACGTCTTGTGGTATGACGCGGCCAGGGATCGGACCCCGGACCCTCCGCTCTCCGGGCGGACGCTCTACCACAGGACCACGGAGGCGGTCCGATAATTTGATAATGGGGGGGGGGGGGCCGCAGGGATTTTGTTTCGAGGTTAGCATGTTTTCATCTACAGCAATGAAAGCACAATTTCTTCTTCTTCTGTATACACGGGACACAGAGATACATCAAACTGGAGAAATCAGGCCACAGAGATAACCCAAAAGAAGGTATTACTCTGGTGTGATGTAACGACTTATGTATCAAGCAACGGAGATACCCAAAAGAAGGTATTACTTTGGTGTGATGTAACGACTAATGTATCAGGCTACGGAGATACCCACAATGAGGTATTACTCCAGTGTGATGTAACGACTAATGTTTCAGGCCACGGAGATACCAACAAGAAGGTATAGCTCAGGTGTGATGTAACGACTAATGTATCAGGCAACGGAGATTCCCAACAAGAAGGTATTACTCTGGTGTGATGTAACGACTAATGTATCAGGCTACGGAGATACCCACAATGAGGTATTACTCCAGTGTGATGTAACGACTAATGTTTCAGGACACAGAGATACCCACAAGCAGGTATTACTCCAGTGTGATGTAACGACTAATGTTTCAGGCCACGGAGATACCAACAAGAAGGTATAGCTCAGGTGTTATGTAACGACTAATGTATCAGGCCACGGAGATACCAACAAGATGGTATAGCTCAGGTGTGATGTAACGACTAATGTATCAGGCCACGGAGACACCCACGAGGAGGTATTACTCTGGTGTAATGTAACGACTAATGTTTCAGGCCACGGAGAAACCCACAAGGAGGTATTACTCTGGTGTGATGTAACGACTAATGTATCAGGACACAGAGATACGCACAATAAGGTATTACTCTGGTGTGATGTAACGACTAATGTATCAGGCAACGGAGATACCAACAAGAAGGTATTACTCTGGTGTGATGTAACGACTAATGTATCAGGCTACGGATCGGAGATACTCACAAGGAGGTATTACTCTAGTGTGATGTAACGACTAATGTATCAGGCCACGGAGATACCCAAAAGAAGGTATTACTCTGGTGTGATGTAACGACTAATGTATCAGGCCACGGAGATACCCACAAGGAGGTATTACTCCAGTGTGATGTAACGACTAATGTATCAGGCCATGGAGATACCCACGACAAGTTATAGCTCTGGTGTGATATAACGACTTATGTTTCAGGCTACGGAGATACCCACAAGGAGGTGTTCCTCTGGTGTGATATAACGACTAATGTTTCAGGCTACGGAGATACGCACGAGGAGGTATTCTCTTACGGATGTAACGACTAATACCAGACGTTCGCGAAAAGGGTAAGCATGTCTTGCCCCACCGGTAGCACCAGTCATTAATACAATTTGCATAAAAGCGTATTACTAAGTGTTTGTTACCTGAGGCCGCATAGCAGAACTCCTGCCATGCGACGGCGGCCTGTAACAAACCATACAATCAAGTGATCGATGGACCAGATACCCAAGTGCACAATAACGCATTTTCCGACCAAACGATATGTTAATTTGGAATTACGTCTGCCGTCTACATGTAGAGAAAAACGTTAAAGAAATATGTTCGTTTTTCAACGCAGTGGGAATCAGAGCACATTATGCTGATGATATAGTAGGAAACATACATAGTGATGTCTTGGTTTTGTTGCTTTTATTTATAATGGCAAGATATTACCTGCATAATATACGATTTTTTCCGTATACGTTAATACCATTGCAAAATGACAAATGTACCGGTCAATCTGAAGCTTGTACTACCACTATAGCGGCAAAAACCGAATTAAGGGACAAAGTAATATCTGTATACTTTCTAATCGCACAAGCCCCAATTAATCCTCCATTTAATCACTACCTAATGACGGATCCACAACCACCCTCAAACCAAACGAAGGTCATTGTCCACAAATACCGAGCTGACAAGAAGCAAGACACATGCCAGATAGTCTCCGAAAGCGTTTTACAGTGTCAACTGAAAGGTTCCACTTTCGATATTGTCCGTACTATGGACATTGCACCATCATCCTCGAAAGTACAGAATGAATTTGCGTGTAATATACCCGTGTGTCTGAAACAAATATTTATAATAAAACATGTTAACAACATTTGCAAACAACTACTGTCCTAGTAAAAGAATATTTTTCTTACCTGGCAGAAATCCTAGTGTGCAGTACATCAGGTTCAGGTCGTTCACCTGGCTGCCGAGGATTAAGCCAGAGGCAGCCAGCAAACCTCCGACCAAAGTGGTAAGACGACCGCCGAAATGTTCAACACATACCATCGCAAGAATAGCTGCAATATTGGACACATGTTGTGTAGAGGCTGAATCAACTGTATGTGTTGGGTTTTTTTATTTTGAAAATATTGTTATATGTGAACATATTAACTATCAGTCAAGAACATTTCTAAAGTCTTCATAAATGTTATGAGAAGAATATAATACATTTACGTAAACAATTGAAACAAAAGGTCTTTTCATTATTACTAAACCATTATTACTCAAATCTAGCTTTCAGATGGCAAATACTGTTGTGGCTACGTTAAGCTAGTAACACACGAGTTGGCGTTTTACTTACATGCAATCCCAATAAATCCGCCAAAGAGAGATCCAAACCAAGTCACCTCCTCCTCTGAGACGCCCAGAGGCTCCTTCATGTATGAGTACATGACACCGTACGAGGCTGCCAGACCACCATAAAACATGTTGACAATGAAAGAGCTGAACACTGACACAATCTGCCAGTATTTCCTTCCAGTGTGTTTCCCAGTAAAGTGATGGGCATAGTTGCTTTCGTGACTACTGTTTGGAATAGTGTCGTCTGTATTTGACTTACATTTCTTGTTTTGAAGAACGGTTGCAGCAACGGTGTCAGTGCCATGATCGCTATCCAATTCAACAGTGCCATGACAACTGTCATTAGAGTTTTTGCATTTTGCAAATTCAAGAGAAATACCAACAGCAGTATCGTCAGACATCGCTTATATTTCATCAACTGAAAACACCCCTAACGCCCGACGTGTTTCGCGGTAAATTGTGAAGCAAGCGCTCTGATTAGAGTAACGCAGGGACATGTTGCGAAATATTTAATGTAGTGGCTCAGAAAAAATACGGAGCACTGTGATGGACACAATCAATATTACATGCTCAAAAGATAATGAGTCGAGCACATGGGAAACTATGATAATCTTAAACCGTTTATCGGTTGTTCAGCCACATCCTTCTATATTGCCTTGCAAATGCTTCTCGAAGCAGTGATTCTGCATGACATTAACATCAACAGACATGTATTTGGATGATATTCCATACGATGAAATCCTTTGCATTTTCATTTGAATATATAACAGTACTTGTCAACTAACGTGTCTCCATAGACAAGGCATGATGAGAGGAAGATGAATACTGTCACATGCAGAAGATGGTTTTACAAGTGGTATGACATTGTAAATTCTTCACTAGTGTCATACACCTTTATTTCAAGTTAGATGCCACAGGCCGTAGAACATAACATTACAGGAATACAATTACTGAAGAAGTGACTCCATTGCATGAGATATAAAGTTTGATCACTGTACATTAGTTGGGTTATTATTAGAAGACATCAGGCGAACAAAGAATTCCAGTGACAGATTTACAAAGTATTTAGAATCATTCTGGATCGATGCCATTGCGATCATCAACTGATGACAGCCACATCTAAATCTTGACAGTGCTTGTTTCAATAAAGTCGACATGTGTAAGATATACTTCGGTCTGTAAAACTGACTTGTTTGTTGAATATGCCACTAGCTTTGGATTTGATGATGTTGATGAATGCCATCGCTGGATGTTGTAATCGAATACATGTTGTTTAAACTGAGATATAAAAAGATCTTTAATAATCCAGGCGTAACAAAAGCCAAACTGGAAAAATATTATGTTTTATTTTAGTTGGCCAGGAAATTATGTTTGCACAATACAATATATACAGCATCAGACACGTTTGCTTCGGTGGTCGGTCATTTTTCATAATGACTAGTTTAGCCCAAAATATTTTACACATTTTGTTACATAGGTAAGAGATAATTAGGGTCGACCACTTTCTCTAAGAACAGCATCATTACAAGCGGTCAGAGACTGAGATGGGCCAGCAGTGGCAGCAGAGAAATTGGCGAAGAGTGCTCTTCAGCGACGAGAGTAGATGCCAGCTCTCCAAGTCTTTTTGGCGGGTTCGAATCTACCAACGACGTGGTGAACGGACAGCACGTTCTTGCGTCCAAGAAATGGAGCCTTATGGAGGTGTTAGTGTTCTGATCTGGGATGGCATCTGCGGGGACCAGAAGACAGGTCTGGTCATCATCGACGAAAATCTCACTGCACGTCGTTACATTGATGAGGCTCTGCGGCCTGTGGTACTGCCTTTCCTGCAACGACACACATGGACTCTGTTTCAGCAGGACAACGCCACCCCTCATACAGCTCTAGTCACTAGCGACTTTCTGAACGCCAACAACGTGACCGTATTACAGTGGCCAGGACCTGTCGCCAATAGAGCACCTCTAGGACAGTCAAAAACAGTCGCCATTGACGAGGGATACCTTGGTAATTGCCCTGCAGGAAGAATGGCGTAGGATCCCCAATCAGAATGTCAGGAGACTCGTGTACTCAGTTCGACGTCGTGTTAGGGCCTGCGGGAGGGGACCACATTCGATACTTAGCCAAGTGTGTAGCACAGAACTTTAAAAGAGATCGACGTCGATTCTGCGGGTGGGATCGAATACTGCACCCAGATAAACGTGTCTGCAGAACTTTAAGTACATGGCTTTTGATCTTGTCATTTTCAAATTCCGCTTTTGAATAATTGTTTTTTTATAATAAAACATCAACTGTTACTGAATTTTGCGTCTGTTTGGTGGCGTTTCTTTTGCCCGTTTAAATACATTTCTTGCACTTTCTTTGCCCACGTTGTCAAGATATTATATGATTAAGTTGGTGACGTGCTACGTATGCTTTCATTGGATTAGATTCAAAGCTAATAGCAGTTTTGTAAAAAGTCCGCTTCTGGTATTTGTGTTTTGTTATATTTGAGAATTTCGTTTATAATATCATAAAAGTATTAATCATATTTAGAAAAACTTGATCTTGATATAAGACATTCAACAAGTGTTTTTACTCATGTTTTCACTTAGTGTATTTACTAAATATTGATCTTACTCAGAGAAACATTCTGTTCAGTAAGTACACAAACCGCAGTATTAGTACAGTTAAACCATTGGGTTGGTTATTGCTGTGCTCTTTCAATCATGGCCGCTTCCAGACTACAAGTCTTATAGGCTGAACATTATTTGTTTTAATGCAACGCTTAACGATGTGTATTTGGCGCATTATTATTATTATTATTATTATTATTTACAGATTAAAATAAAAAAAGGAGCAAAAAGGGTTTGAGTGATCCTGGTACAGTCAGGCTGGTTAGGCTCATCATCAGCTTAGGGCCCTTGCCCCCTCTACACGCAGCCCAGACAGCGAATGGAACTTCTCCCAGGAAGCGCTGCCTAGTCGAACCCACCCAGAACTTTTCGGAGATTGTGAAGACTCCCCAACACGACAGCCTTCTGCATCACACAGATTGTCAGAAGGGCTGTATTCCTGGCATCAAACCCGGGTACTCTCCCAATGTCAGTCAACAGATTGGGAGGGTCCAAACCGAGGCACCGAGAACAATGGGGAGTCAGACAACTTGGTACTTGGGATGCAAGGTGACATTTCGAGACGAGATCCGCATATTTGCCATGTTTTTCCTCAATCTTGTCAATTATTATTATTATTATTATTATTATGATGAGGACGTTGTGTATGCCTTTGTTTTACAATGCATATACCCCCCCCCCCCCCCCCCCCCCTTCATCATTGTAGGAAGAATCATCCAGATGTCACATAATATCACATGATGGTGGACAGATGCAGTCTCGGCCAGTCGAGCTAATAATAAAGTATGATAATGACATTCACACGGCCATGTCGTGTGACATAAGATGAGCACGTTGTTCCATTTCCTCGCTTTGTCTAGCGTGGCGACGCATTAAACAGTTGAACATGGATCATTAAAACGGTTTCAAGGAACCCATGTACATCGCGGAACAAAATAGTTCTTCAAAAAGAGAGTTGACATGAGCGTATGGAAGCATAACTTGCTCTTCAGAAACATCTTTCACAACACATGTGTTCAAATAATATTACCATTAGATGCGAAATGTCTGTAAAGAACTACCTCAGTAAGTCAGTCACAATGACAGCGCGTCGTAATACATTTACATCAAGTACAAGACGTCAAAATGGCCGACACGATAAACGTGACGGGAGCGATTTTCGAAGTTGTTAATGAACCTGTGTCGGTTACATGTGTTAGTCATCATTGATCAACTGGCCGATCATTGAAAGGTGATTAAATATGCGTTCAAACAGACACTAAGGTAAACGCATAGATTGCTGGAGACGGTCACTGTCAGCCTAGACACGGATCGAATCGAAACTACGATAGTTTGTATGTGAATTTCTTCGTTTGCTCATTAGGATGGGTCGTAGCGAGGATATTCGTCAACAATCATGCAGTACAAGCTCTCTGACATTTACCAATGCATACTGAAACGCAGAGACCAAGATTAAAGGTTCTAAAAGATCAGAAAGAACGCTTATGTATGTTTTCGTCCTAGGGAATTCCCGGGGGTTTCCCCAGGAATGTGGAAGTAGTCCGTCAGTGTTTACGTCATTTCAAGAACACAGTCCCGTGAAAAACGTATGAACGTCAAATTGTGTCGTTCATGCACTTATGAACGTCAATTTCGCGGTCAAATGACCGACCTCTCGTCCAATGGAAAAGACGTATATCTTGTAAACTTCAAATTAAAAAATTATATTAAATTAAGGTGCACAGTTTGGAGTGCAACATCTTTGGTTTTATGTCATATCAAATAATTATGACCAAATGGTTAAAACAGTATGTATGGTGCCAAGTTACCTTGGAAGCATGTACAGGTTTGCCTGAACAGGTAACTCCCATGCTTAGACAAATATAGGTTGTACTTGAAGAAACATAATATAACAGACACTCAAAATATCATTCTTACACTCACTTTATTCTTCACATACTATCAGCTACATTGCATGTATAAATTAGAACATCAAAGAAAAACAAACATTGAACATCCCTACATGATCTGCATCTTCACTTGGTGACTCATTCGCTAGTCCAAGAGTATTATGTGTACCCAGGGACATACGGTCGTCAAGGTATATCGCCATAAGTCCCTACACGTGTCGACTGCTTGTAGCATCAGGACCATCAATACACAGACTGCAGTGTCCTTCCATCCAGATGTCAGACCGTGGTATCTGGCCCGCCGGTGCTAAAGCCGCCTTCATGTAGCATCAGGACCATCAATACACAGACTGCAGTGTCCTTCCATCCAGATGTCAGACCGTGGTATGTGGCCCGCCGGTGCTAAAGCCGCCTTCATGTAGCATCAGGACCATCAATACACAGACTGCAGTGTCCTTCCATCCAGATGTCAGACCGTGGTATGTGGCCCGCCGGTGCTAAAGCCGCAGTTGTCAACACCTTCCACTTCCAGATTGTCTGACTTCCTGGTGCACAACGCCATTTGCTTCCTCATCACTACCCACAACAGCAGCAGCATCGTCAGGATAAACGAACTCCCGGCAAGGTAGAACGGGGTATCCCTGTCATATTTCTTTGCTAGGTAACCTGCAAAGGTTAAGGTTATTGTAATTTCTAAAGAAGATGACAAAACATTATAAATCGCGTACGCTCATTGTTACCATATTATTTGTGCATAATGATACAGACGAAGATTTAGAACGTTGTGTTTCTTATAAGTTAATAGTTTACAATTGAGGTGCTAACGTTTTTTGTTTTTTTTTACACTGCTATCGGCAACATTCCAGTTATCTGACGGCAGCCTGTAGGTAATCGAGTCCAACTAGACCAGACCAACTAGTGCTTGGTATCAAGAGCTACGAGGGGCTCTGTGACACGCTACACATCACTGAGTCTGACCGCTAATCCTTTTAGTCGCCTCGTCCGACAATCATAGGCTGCTTGGGACCTATTCTATCCGGAATTAGAATGAAAGTGTAAATACGAAAATATGAATTCCTAAACTTTGTATATAATTCGTCACAACGGGTCGTTTCTTATTTGTATTATCACAGTTTCCGTGACGTAACCTGATAGAGAGAAGGCATTACAATTGACATTGGTATAATCTACTTCACCCTTCGTCGTTTTCCATAAATGTGTGTTTCAATCTTAAAACTTAGTTAAAAGGACAGCGTATAGCATCCAACATTTCCATCAATGTCTTACTTTGTATAGGTGATCCTCCAAATGCCCCAAACCCTAAGCACATCATAAACGTGCCAAATGTTTTTGACAAATTATGAAGTCCAAACAGTTGAACTAACACAAGAGGGAGGACGCTAGAAAAGCCTCCTGAAATACGAATATAAAAATATGTACACTTTTATGAAATAATATTTGTCCAGAAAGTTATTTAAAAGACCAAAATAATGATGTCAGTTAGTGTAATCAAACAAAGACATTCTGAATAAAAGTACATAATTTAAGAACAATGTCAGAATATCTCACCCAAGGTTAATCCATACACCGCCCCGTTTATGTAAAACGCAGTAGCATTTGCACACAGCGGAATTAAGAGGTTGGTGATGCCCATCCCACAGATTGAAAGTAGAAATATGTAGTTTGTAGCCTTGACAGTCGACATGGAAATGCCGGAAAATAAAATACGACCAGCCATGCTGCCATATCCCGGAGTTGTCACTACGAGAGCAGCTTGTGTTGCCGTCAATCTGGACATTGAGGTTGTAACATATTCAGGAATAAAGGTGGAGAATGTGTAGTAGCTGAAGCCGAGGGTGACGTGAGCGATGGAGACAGTTACTGCTCCTGGTATCCTGAATATCTGGAAGCAGTTGACCAATGTCTGGCTGACGGAGAGGCTTTGACCATTGGAGAAATCTTGAAATAAAAACGGTTAAAGGTCTGAGGAAAATGAAATGTTAAGATTTTCTAATACCAGTGACTCGCATAGGTATATCAGTTTCTAAACAAAGCCGAAATGATAACCCACTGTCATTTACTTGACTGACTTCACTACCATTAACGTTAATATAGATATTATGTCATTCTCAGCTCACCGTTGCTATTGCTGGGTGTCATCCACAGTGCGCATGGTATGAAATGCAGTGTCAGTGCTCCATTGATGAGGAAAGTACCCTGCCACCCCAGCGTGTCGGAAACAAGGGAACACATGGGTGGCCAGATTAGCATACCCACAGATATCCCGGTAATAGAAACTCCAATGGCTAAAGGCCGCCATTTGGAAAAATGTGTGTTGACATTCACCATGTTAGCCGTGTAACCAAGGGATATACCTATTCCTGGAAGAGAACCATGCATAATAATAGAATTATGAAGATATACATAAAAGAAGGAAGACCTCTCAGCGTAACCTACAAAACACCTTAATGGCGATATGGCATTAAGCCACTGTAAGCGTTACAGGATAACATGCCATCAACACTTCAACATTAAGGTGACACGATGCCACATAACTGAAACACTTCTCAATGCGGCGTTATCAAAATTCACTAACTCATGACGTTTATGGGACATAAGACGCAAAGCTATAAGCGTGAAGTAAGTGAGGTCAGACTTTTCACCACATTTCAAAAATAAATTCACGTCTTTTCAATCGCGACTCAAATAAGTATTTGCAAATTAAATGGTGTTGAACTCGGATGTCATGGTATAGGCCGTTTTGCAACCCTATCGTATGATTCTGATACTAATCCACCTACCAGGCAGAACTCCAAATGAGAAGTACAAAACGTATAGGTTGTGCATCTGACTGCCGATGATAAAACCAGTTGTGGCCAGCACCCCTCCCAACATAGTCGTGCGTCGGGCTCCAAGGCTGTCCAGACACACCATCCCGAGAACCGCTGCAATTGTCAATATTCAAGTCCAGGATTAATATTTCTCTATGGTTAAGTGAAAACATTGCAATCAATGTGATGTCCAATAGAATATTAAATGTATCTATTATATAAATGTATGTTTATAAGAAATATAATATATTTGGTTCAAGACATATTTGGTAGAAGACACGAATTTTAAAATAATCAGGTTAAAGTATTGCCATCACACACATCTGGTTTGCGAAGGCATGTGTGTATTCACGGTATGAAATATGTTATACTTGATTGAACGTTTAACTTACATGAAATACCAATAAAACCGTTCATGAGAGATCCTATCCAGGAGAGTTCCTCCTCCGTGACACCAAGAGGTTCTTTCATGTAGGTGTACATTATTCCGTAACTGTTCGGGAGTCCACCAGCAAACAAGTTGACAATGAAACCACTGACGACAGACATTATCTGCCAGTATTTTCTTCTTTCGCGTTTTCCCACACCATTGTCTTGAACCTTGATTTCACAACTGCTGCCATGACAACCGCCCCTCGCACAATTCTTTTTACTATCACAAATAACATCGTTCTTAGGTTTGTTTCCACGACAGTCATATTCTTCAACAGGTATTTTGTTATTTAAAGCATTTTCTTCATCCCATACTGTGTTAGTACGAGCAAAGTGCTTGCTGTCATGGCCACGCTCTTCAACTATTTGACTGTGGTAACCAGAATTATCGCCTCGGCATACCCCGGGGCCCTTTCTTAGCACGTCAGAGAGGTTAGTCACATCTACGTTTGGCATTGTGTCAAATTTCACTAAAAGAACTTACGATTAATCGTTGTCTCACTGCAGGGCAAGAGTCACTAGGAACAAACTGGATGTGTACTACACTGTATATGTAGCCGGACACTCAGAGAAGGGTCTTCATCACAGCTGTCGGGAGAGTCTTGCCAGAGGTCGGTGCGTCTTCATTAAATATTACGGAAAACAGAGGGTAGTGGTCGTCATTTTATATTATTTGAAAACCTCATTCATGCCATGGCATACATTACCTATGCGATATTTTGCTCAACAATACTATTTTAGGTAGGGGCACACTGGTAAATTCTGGTTACGTCCTGAAGCTTTGTCAACACTATGACGTTTCTTACGTTCGTGACTGTTCATCTGATGCGACCATTAAGACTTTTCGCGGTATTCCGTATAGTGAAATAGCGTGCCGGAATTACTGAGGAGTGGTAGACGATGCTATTTAACCCTAATCATAATATATCTAATATATGGGTTTAACCATCGTTTCAACGATGTCAGATAGACTTCTAGTATTGTTTATGTATAAGAGACTGTACATTCATAAGTCATAGAACGAAATTGTCGATAGATACCCGAAGATGGTATCTTACTGTAGTTTTGTAAGTGAGATGGCAATATATGTTTAATATATTGCATTTTTCCATCATGAATTGTATGTATATGTTCATGGTAGATGAACTTATCTATTTCTTCAAGTCACGTTTGATTGTTTTATTCTTTTAAGTATGATACGAAGATTAGTAGTGTCTGCTGATGATGTTGTACTACATACAAAGCTTTCAAAGAGTACTACTTCATGTATCTACTATCAAATACAACTAAACGCTTTTTCTGTAACACATGATGAAGCTACTGATAATACACTGATATTATTACAACCCAAACTGACGCATTGAGAGCAATCAGTGGAATGTTGTAACAATTCTGTATTTTGTACGCAAAAAAGAGATTGTACAAAAATGAAAATGTAATTCATAGGTTTCATTTTCTTATAAATGACGAGTAAAGTTTGAGGAATTATTAGTCTGTTTGTTTGTTTGTTTGTTGTTTAACGCCGAAAAAGCAATATTCCAGCTTTATGACGGCGGTCTGTAAAATAATCGAGTCTGAACCAGACACTCTAGTGATTGACATCATGAACATCGACCCACGCATTTGGGATACGATAACATGTATCAATCAAGTCAGCGAGCCTAACCACCCGATCCCGTTGATCGCCTCCTTCGACAAGCATAGTCGCCTTTTACGGCAAACATGGGTTGCTGAAAATCTATTCTACGCCGGATCTTCACGGGTCAGTTAATAGTCTGAATGAGTTTATTTTGATACGGATATAACTAACTTGCCCACTGGTCGCCAAGGATTCGTTGTACCAACTATGTAACTCGCGAGCTATAGCGAGGCTCAGTTTACGAGGCACACATTGGTTTCGAGATGCGAGAAAGTAATGTTACTCTTCATATTACTTTTATTCCAAGTGCAGACAACAGCTCAATCCATCTATTGCTTTAACGACGTCAACTAAGGCCGTCTGTGAGGCTTTGTCACGTCATGTCACTCCTCAAACAATGAAACAATTGACGTAAACTCGCCACACGACGGCGAAAAGCACAATGCTAAGTATTTGAGAATTACTGAAAATAGTTTATTATAGTTTAAAATATCGGTAATTCCGATTATTTGTTTCAGAGTCTCTTCCGTAGCAGTTCGTGTTGAGTGATATATAGTCGGCAAAAAAAGTAAACGCAAAAGTAGTAAAATCGTAAATACCTGACCGAGTGTTGCCGACATCCATACAAAATTAATGCTAAAAAATGAATTTGTAATTTCTTCATGGATTGGGATTGATTTGTGTGGAAAAAAATGAGGTACTGCAGAAATTTGGTGAAAAGATGGAGAAATCGCAAAAACACAACCACGTGAGAGTCTGGCGCCGAAACACAAACATTAAATGCTCACGCAACTTCACTTATTAAACTTTGAAAACGTTGGGTTTTCATTTGCATGCCACCACAATCTTACAGCAAATGAACAGCGAAAGCAATCCACGCAACAAAGCCATCGGCTTACTGCAAACAGGAGAATCATCTTCAGCTCTGTCCATCTTTTTCCATGTAGCACCAAGCGCCATTACAAGACCTGTCTAACCGTTATCAGTGGTCGGTCACAGTTCGCGAAAGGTCGTTCTGACGTGACCCGTAATGGGGTGTCCTCAGATCTTTGTTTAGCGATAGCGGGAACTAAGATCTGATTTTAATGTGATTGGTAGACGTCGTGTTTACATGCGTCGCGGGGAACGCTATGCGGCAAACTGCATACAGAAAGTGGACAGATTTAGGGGCATCACTGTAGGTCTGTCCCCTCACCCCCTACCCTCACACATGATCAAACACACAGTCACGCCCAAGTAGTATTGCTGATTTGTGGTCATAATATTAATTGCTCTATTAGGTGCTCTATATTTTAATATATTCATCAGAATGAGTCAGTGTTTCGGATAAGGTAAGGTATTTTTCCAAACTGGTAACGGGCTACAAGCTACAAGCTACGAACCGTCTGTGTATATGTCTGTTTTTCATTGGTCAATAAATAACATCATATGACTAAAAACAATGTCAGATCGTCTAATGTGTAATAGCTCTGCTGATCTCAGGAGTCCTGAATATGCTACAATGCACATAATACTTAAATTAAAAAGTGTAGGATTAAGCATTGTTACATCATATCATTTCTCTAAAAACTCTATGGTAATCGGCTCCTTTTTATTAACACATCTGGCCAATCTTCCTTTTGCTGCTTCTAAAACATTTTTTACTAAACCATTCTCAGTCGAGCTTTGCAATCCTACTATCACATGAGCATGAAGAATACTATGAAATGCGGTTTGCACAGGAGCAAACGATTCACTCTGCTGAACAACCGACGGCAAATATAAATCGCAGTGCATAAGGTGAAATTCGTAAACTCGTAGCCATTAAACAAGAATATATCCCCCGTTTTTACGCATCAAGGCCATATATGCATTCAAGATATGCTGAGATCAACACGCAGAGCAAGCATATTTAACAGCAAGTCTTGTTCTCCAAACAATCCACCTCCAATCCTAGACGGTACGTAACCTAGTTTAGATTTTGACAAATACATGTGTACTATCACCCGTGGAATAAACAAAGAATTACGAGTGATAAGCGGCCAAAAGCATGCGGAATGCCATTCGGACACAACAATGGCGCCTTTAGCACAACACACAGACATATGTCTTAAAGTTCTTGGTGCCATATCAATAGGGGGGACAACCCAATTTTACCACCCCACTCCACCTGATTGTAAAAAAGTACACAGCAGCACATCCCGAGTTATCATACCTGGAATTTAAACATCTCAAATTGGCATTGTACCAAGATGCAAATCTATCTACATCGCGAAATGGACCAATCATCGTAGTCAATAATTTTACTCATCATATCTGAAGTCCCCTCGTCTGATCGCTTGATCCACTGCATATTCAGATTAACATTTTGGCTTGAACACAACTCAAAAAGGTCCATAACTATTCTTTGTAATTGCTGTTTTATACTACCCTTATCCACTATGGTAACCAAATTTTGATTGTCAGTACTCCACAGTATTATACGATGTCTCAGCTGTGAGATAAAACTTTGCAGAACGACAACAACGGCCTTGAGTTCTCTCCATGTAGAACTATCTTATAATTAGCCTCCTCTTCTGACCACCGACGATGCGAATAAGCACCATCCATTTCAACACAATACCCTCCATATCCGGTATCACTGGCGTCACTGTATACAACTCGACTCAAAGCTGAACTCTTGACCAGTACTGTACTCGACAAACGAGCAATGTTTTCAATCCAATACTGTAATTGTTCAGTGCTCTGTGACGACAATATAACTTTGCTGTTCAAAGGTGAAGCTATCAAAACATCAATACTGGGAAACTAGTCATTAATTGTACAACATTTCCCATAACTAGTTTCATTGTTATGATTTGTCCGATAATCGCACAACAAGCGGCACTGGTTGATAAGAACAAATATAATTGTTTCAATGGCCTTATCTAACTTCCTCTGCGGAACAGTTAAACACAGAGTGTGTGTATCTATGTGAAGATTTAGCCACACAATAGACTGCAAAGGTAACCATAGTGATTGTTCGAATTTGGGTACAAATCCAGACTTGATCAAGTCTTCTTTTATAGCCTCGCTAGACGAGCGTGTGATAAGCTCCGATTGAGCTGATAAAAGACCGTCATCTGAAAAGGTGACCACTTTCTTCCCTTCAAAACGCCATTTATTGACTAATTGGCGTCTAACCTTAGTGAACACATAAGGTGCTGAAGTTTAGCCTGGAGGTAAGACTACAAAACTTGAAATATTGCTTAACACCCGTAGCATTTTTCCTCGAAAAACCTAGGAATTCAGTATGGCCTTCCAAAATGTCCATATGATGATATGCTGAATATATATCACATTTTATCAATCAATCGTTGACATTAATATATTCAAGTGCAATTTTCCAAATTCATATTTGATTGACAATTTACTAACGTAATTGTTAACTCTTGACAGATCTAAGATCAAACGCCTTTCCCCCGAAGAATGAATGTACACATTCTAGATGGTTAACAATGTACGGCGGAGACTCACACTTAATTGTTTCTTATGCAATTCTAAATTGTTTGGTTAACAAACTCTGTATGTCTTATCGTCGACTTGTTATTTCGTAACTCCATCTTTGGAGGCCTGTCTATAATATCAATTATGAATTGAGACGCACCAATATTGTACCAAAATTGAATAGTAGACTTCAACCGACCCTTCACTATAATTTTTGCTGATCCCTGTTCATATTCATAATAATCATTCGTAACGGCATTGTCATAATCATCAAGCATATTGTTTTCCGAATGTACATTACCAAAACTACACTTAACTGACAAGTCTGTATCATGCCTAAGAGGCACTGGTTGCTGTGGCGTTGACGCCTGTCGTAGGCTTGGTTATACTGCATGTACTGCATTCCCGGTGGGTGTAGATGGTGAACTTGCCACGGGTGGTCCAATCGTCTAAGGCGCCGCGATTCACTGTGCAGAGTTGCGTCCCTTGGGCATGCCAGAAACCTATGATTTGGGGTTCGAATCCCGGTTCGCCCCGATTGTGTTTCTAGGTTTGTCAG